GGGAGGGAGGGAGGGAGGGAGGGAGGGAGGATGGATTCTTCTGACAAGCACAATGTACACTGAGGAAATTATTTTGACTTAGTCTGAAAAGTTGTGTGTGTGTGTGTGTGTGTGTGTGTTTAAAGATTGGATTTCTCTGTTCCTATCTGGATTTATTTTCTTTCAAAAAGACCCAGATTAGGAATTAGAACACTTGGATTGGCCCTTATATCTTGGAGAGTGGAGTGATTTCAGATGCCAAATGATAACAGCACACCATGGTAATGAGACAGGAAAACTAGGTTTCAGTCCAATCCAGAAGGATGCAATTCAGCAGTCTCTCTTTCTAATCTCCCTTTGAAATTCCTTTGTAAGAGCACTGCTACTCTTGGGTCAGCAACTGAATGTTGTGGTTTCTAATGTCAGACTTACATCCATTTATTCTCTGCATCCTCCTGGAATGAATCCTCCTGGATGGAACTAAGACCTAGGTTTCCTGTATCATTACCAATGCTGATATCTCCATGCCTACTTCTCCTCTGCATATCATACCTAATCCAATCATGCCTGCTACTGCCATTTGCATCTGAAATCATCTTTACAACATTTATATTTCTGGTACCTCATCTTACATTTTATAGCAGCATGGCCCAGCCCAACAAAGTGACATTTATTTCTGATCCGGCCCTCATAACAAATGAGTTTGACACCTCAAGAATATGCCACACAGTGCAGTTTAGCTCTCTCTTGGAGCTGTGGAGAGCCACAAATCCAGAACATTTTAATGAAGCGCCTGGGAGAGACCATCTGGAGGAATGGAATACATGGTCATGAATTTTCTGATGAAACCTAATGCTTATTTTTCTCTCTCCACTGATCCACAAGCAGCAATAACAACCTTGAATCAGTGTCTGGTGGCTGAGAAGGGTTAAATTACGACAAAAAATATTTAACCTGGCCCTGATCAACGTGTTTCTGCAGATGGTCACAAAGATACTAACCAGTACTAAATTTGTTCTGGTGCTCATTTAAATATGGTCTATAATTCTTGTTTCATTACTGTTATTTGAAGAACAAATTCTGTTCTATCTACTTTCCATTGCCACATTTCTTTTCTTAGGGTAAATGTTTACTTTAAACAAATGCTTACGTAAATCACTCGGCTTGGGGACCCTGATGTACTTGATGCCGGCACTGACATTATGCTCTCAGATGATGTTCTGGTTTCCTGCAACTGAAAACAAGCATGCAAAATGAATGGCATTGAGAGTTTAGTAAAGGAAAATGTTTCTGAAACCTTTAAAGGTACTCAGAACTGTAAGGCAATTCTGGTCAAATAAAAGCAGTTAAAATATCTTTCCATCCAAGTTAAGGCCTTTACAAATTCACGCATACTCCAAAACCCTGAGCATTGTAAGTAAGGGCTGCCCCACAATTTAGGTACCACAGGAACAATACAGACATTGCACAGGCTGACATTTCACGCCCATGTACCAGTTAGATCCCAAGCAACTCTTCTTCTCTCAGTCCCAATCCCTGTCCTCTGCAGGCTGTGGGCGCAACACTGAGCTTGAAGTCAGTGCCATGTGGACATTTAATATGATCCTTGGTTGCATGTAAAAATAATGATAGGGGATGCATTCCCTGGCCCCGGTCACACGGGAGGTTTTGGCCCGGAAGAGGGACAGATCGGGGGCGCAGCAAACGGGTGCGAGCACACCGCAACATCTGGGAATCTGCGCACACCCGTCCCTGATCCGTCCCTTCAGGCCTAAACCACGCAGTAAAAAACAACAACAAAAAGGTAGCACCAACCAGAAACGCCGCAGCAAGTGTGGCCGTCGGATCTCCCGTTTTCAGGAGCATTGGAGGCTCCCAGCTGAACTGCGAATGCGCACACATGCGCAGCCGGCTGCCTCGTGCTCCCTTCCATGGCTTTTCCCCCCCAGCATCTGATCGTGCCGGGGAGCAACTCCGTGGTGGCTCACGGGATCTGTTTGATCCCGCCGCCGCGTGTCTCTTTTGGTGCGGCTTTAAAAAGCCGCACTTTGGCCGCATCAATTTCCCCCCATGTGGCAGCAACCCTTGATGACCTATAGCAGGAAAAGGACAGGTGGAGTACCACCCTGCCTATCCCCCTGGACCTCTCAGTACCCACGTGGACTTCCTCCATGGGTCAGGATCTGGGACAATGCTTTTGCTCCTACCTCCAGAGGAGGACTGAGGAGATGGTGCTGGGCAATGCTGGTTCATCCTGCAAGGTTCTCCACCAGTGTTCCTTCACACCCTACAGGCAGCTGCTCAGGGACGGGGTGTGGCCTTAGGGAGCGCATCCCTCTCACAGGGCTGATCACAGCCTCCTCAGTTTGCCCCCCCCCCCCCGTCTACTGCAGGAATGGCAGCTGATTCACTGAATGAATGTCTGAGATCACTGGAAGTTTGGCTAATGAACCAATTTAAGATTAATCCAGACTAGTAAGAGGTGACAGTGATGCACAACTAGCTGCAGAAATGCAAGTCCTAGTCAGAGCTGTGCAGATTCACACCTTGGACTTACTTTTGCTTCCCAAGTCACACATGGCTACCATAGCTCAAGGCTTACTCATAGCTTGCTTAGACTAATGGGAGACAAAGACTTGAACTTGCTGCGTATCTATGCCTTGGCCACATCCTGAGTAGATTACTGTAACACTTTCTTTGAAGATGGAAACTTCAACTGGTACAAAACATCAGTTGGTGTCATGGTTAAGTGCACGGACTCTAATCTGGGAGAACCGGGTTTGATTCCCCACTCCTCCTCCACTTACACCTGGCTGGATGGCCTTGGGCAAGCCGTAGTTCTGACAAGAGCTGTTCTTGAAAAAGAGCAGTTTCTGTCAAGAGCTCTCTCAGCCCCCCCCCCCCACCTCACAGGGTGTCTGTCTGTTGTGGGGAGGGGAAGGGAAAGGAATTTGTAAGCCGCTCTGAGATACCCTTGGGTAGTGAAGGGCGGGGTATAAATCCAATCTCTTCTTCTCTTCTTCTTCATCACTGCCCATCTTTTGAAGGACATGATCATAACACACCTATTTTAAGCACTAGTTACCAGGAGTTAGCAGTGCTTTCACAGGCATTTTGGGACCTGCAGTTGTTTGTCATGAACCCCCCACCCCTCAAGAACCAGGAGAAATTTAAATGGCTTACTTTATTAACAGACCATTAAAAAAATATGGTCAGTAAGACAAAACATAGCAATTGTACATGTTGGATCAGTACTTTCAGCATCCAGGATCTAGTCTCAGTGGCTGTACTGAAAAAGAGAGCCATTTTTCCAGGGACACGTACATTCTTCCCAGCAAGAAAAACGGGAATTAGCCATTCTGCCGAATGGCCAGGTACCACAGCCAAGAGTGGAGCAATTACATCATCTCTGATTCTTGTATAATTGCAAAACAGCACAAGGGACATAGTCCTTCATGCCAAGGACATAAAGAAGAAGAGGAGGAAGAAGAGGTTGAATGTATACCCCTGGCCCTTCACTCAAGAGTGTCACAGTGGCTCACAATCACTTTCCTCTCCTCTCCCCCCACAACAGAAACCTTGTGAGGTAGGTGGGCTGAGAGAGCTCTGAGAGAACTGCTCTTGAGAGAACAGCTCTGAGAGAACTGTGACTGACCCAAGGCCACCCAGCTGGCTGCATGTGGAGGAGGAGTGGGGAATCAAACCCATTCTCCAGATTAGAGTATGCCTCTCTTAACCACTACACCAACTTCCACATTAAGTAACTTTCACATTTCTTAAATACCGGAAAGTTTAGATCCAAGGATAAAGGTTAACAAGGTCAATGTGCCACAATGCGCATATTGGGCAAACTTATTTCACATTTCTCTATGGCAAATGGCCAAATGTTTATGGCTGTGACTCCTGCAATAGTTGTTCATGAATGCTGTTATTCATTTGAAGGGTTGCTGATGGTGAAACAGTGTAACATGCTAATGTGAAACATCACATATATACACTGACAAGGTTTTTAAGTAACTTCCCCATTTCTTAAACACTGGAAAGTTTAGATCCAAGGTGAAAGATGAACAAAGTCTATGTGCCAGAACATGCATATTGTGCTAACTTATTTCACAGACCTCCTACTATACATGATGCTGTCCTTGGGAAGGGTTTGGAAACTTCAATGGGTACAAAATGCTGCAGCCAGGATGTTGGCTGGAGCGGGTCAGAGGAACCACACATCTCTCTCCAGTCTTGTTCCATCTACACCGGCTCCCAAATTGTTTCTGGCCACAATTCAATCCCTATATTGTTTGGGACTAATGCACAGGCCTTCTTCAGATTGTGAGACAGCAAAACCAGGGTAGAAAATCCAACACACTTTCTTGGATTATATCTTTCTTTCATTTGCTTTAAAATGCCACTTTTAATATTAAAGAGGCAAAACTAGAGGATGGATCTCCATGGCAAATAGCCAAATGTTTATGGCTGTGACTCTTGCAATAGTTACTCATGAGTGTAATCCCATCTCAAGGCTCATAACTGCCCCATTACACATTTAGGGAGGCCTGGAATAACTCTAAGGATACAAGCCTGCATCCTCTCTCTGTCTGGACTGCATTTGTCGATCATTCCATAAAGAAGATGAGGCACCAATTTAGCCCTGCATACACAAATCTTAGCAGGAACAAAATGTCCACCGTTGACATAATGGAATCGAGGAATCATTTGAGCAGACTGTTTGGCATCTGCTTGTACATGTTGGAGATGGGGAGTCCAATGCTCAAATACTAATAGGGTTTACTAGTGCTAGCAGGTGCCCATCCATGAATTTGAGGATCAGGAGAACCTCACACCTGAAATAAGCCCCGGGACAGGGGGCTATGGAGATTATAGGAAATCAAGTAAAAATGCCTCTTTTTTGTCTCTTCCATTGAAGCAAGCCATGAGTAGAAGGGAAAAGAGGTGACATTACTTGATTCCTCATCATCACTGCAGCCCACTCCCATCCTCATTATGTGGTGCATCCTATGGACAGCCAGCATGGGGAAGCGGTTAAGAGTTCCAAGTTCAAATCCCTGCACTGCTACAGAAGTTCTCCTTGGGTGACCTTGGGTTAGGGCACTTGTTGTGAGGAGACAGTGAAAGAAGGGAGAACACTGTTGTATGCTGCTTTGAGTCCCCATTAGGGAGAAAAATGGGGTATAAATGTCCTAATAAATAAATAATAAATGGAACTGGTGGTAAAAGAATATGGTTATCTTTTGATATAAACTCTTAATATAAACAGAGGGAAGGACATTTTGAGGGTAGTAATGTTGGTCAAATTAGGCATAAGTGGAATAAACTCCCCCAAAGAATTGCTATGGATGGGAATCTCAGACCTGAAAGGTAACGTGAGCTGGGAACATCTCCAATCTAATCAGAAGACTGGAGGCGATCTGGAGATGGACAAAGCGACAGGAGGCAACCAAAGGGGAAAATGTAATAATGGGCAACTACATCTACCCTCTCATTGGCTGGGGAAATGCACAAATAACACTGCCTTGAAACAATCAATTAGGAAACCAGCTGTGGAGATGTGACCCTGGAATTGATCCTGAGTGGTGTTTTGATTCTGGTGTGAGATATAAGTATTGTTGAACCGGTTGGGGACAGTGATCATAGCACTATTGTCTAGCTTATATAAACATGGGAAGTTGCTTGAAATGTCTAACATGGCCATATTTTATTCCAGAAGAGGAAACAGTAAACAGAAGAAGAGCAGTAAATCATGATGCCTGGTAACTATTTAAATTCTGCAGCTGAAGACTAGGTATAATGCTGGGCATAGTTCTGGTTATCCCCCTTTTTGATGGGCAACAGGTATAGAAATAGGCAGAAATGATATAAGGATTGGGGCCCTTTACCTATGAAGAAAGGCTCAGGAGTTGGAGTTTTTTAATTTAGGGGAAAAGATGATTTGTGACTATTTCAACATACATTCTTGACGTGTTCTGCTTCTGTATCACATTGTAGAATAAGTTTGTAGGAATGTCCTTGAACCTGGTACAATATTATATTTTCAAATTGGGTCAAATTCTTTAGTGTATCTCCTTCTCAATGCCTATCTTAGAATCATAGAATCATAGAGTTGGAAGGGACCTCCAGGGTCATCTAGTCCAACCCCCTGCACAATGCAGGAAATTCACAAATACCTCCCCCTCCACATACCCAGTGACCGCTGTTCCATGCCCAGAAGATGACAAAAAAACCTCCAGGATCCCTGACTAAACTGGCCTGGAGAAAAATTGCTTCCTGACCTCAAAGTGGCAATCAGCATTTCCCTGGGCGTGTAAGAAAGGGCCACAAGAACTAAGCACGGAGGCAACCCTTCCTGCCCTCCCTCTCATGATCTGCCTCAGTTCACAGAATCCGCATTGCTGTCAGATGGCCAACTAGCCTCTGTTTGAAAACCTCCTCCAAAGAAGGAGAGCCCACCACCTCCCGAGGAAGCCTGTTCCACTGAGGAACCACTCAACCGCTCTAACTGTCAGGTAGTTCTTCCTAAAGTGTAGCAGAAAACACTTCTGATTTAATTTCAACCTGTTGGTTCTGGTCCGACCTTCTGGGGCAACTCTGTACCATCCTCTAGATGACAGCCCTTCAAGTACTTGAAGATGGTTCTCCTATCACCTCTCAGTCATCTCCTCTCTCCAGGCCCAGCTCCTTCAGCCTTTCCTCATGGGACTTGGTCTCCAGTCCTTCTTTACACCTCAATGAAAGTTGAAGATATGTTAACCATTGCATCTTATTTTCCTTCTTCATTAATAACTTGCCAAGATTTGATTTTCCCAAATGTATTGATCATATCTTGATATTTTATAAAGTCATTATTTTTCCACTCAGGTTTGTCGAGATGAGCATCTATTGCTCATATTGGGGGACTTATAGTTGTATTAAGTGACCACCAATTTTTCAGCAAACTATCTCTAATAACATGGCCAGTACTTCTCATAATGTTAAGATTTTCCCAGTTGTTTTAATCCAATAATGTCTATGTAAGCCATCAGACTGAGTCAGCAGTGTGATGTGGTTGCTAAAAAGGCAAATGTGATTTTGTGCTGTATCAACAGAAATATAGTGCCCAGATCACGCAAAGTGATGGTACCACTTTCCTCTGCTCTGGTTAGACCTCACCTAGAGTATTGTGTTCAGTTTTGGGCACCACAATTTAAGAAGGATATAGACAAGGTAGAACGTGTCCAGAGTAAGGCAAGGAAGATGGTGAGGGGTCTGGAGACCAAGTCCCATGATACATGGCTAAAATCATGTATCTCAATGTGAATCAAGAGGGGGGGAAAGCAATAAACAAAATTACAAGTATTGGAATGGGCACTAAAAAGTTCAAATTCTTAGGTATAGTGTTACAAAAGAAGATCGATAGAATTCCGGACGCTAACTACAACATGATATGGAGGAAAATAGAGAATGAAATGGGAAAGTGGAAAAATAAAACTTTAGACATATCTGCTAGAATAAGGACTGTAAAAATGTTCTGGGTCCCTAAATTAATATATCTATTTCAGTCGATAGCAATAGGAATTCATAGTAAAAGGCTAGAACAATGGAATAGAGCTATTAGAGAGTGGATATTTGGCAGCAAAAAATGTAGAATGCCCAGAGGTTAGTGCTTTCTGGATAAAAATATTAAAAATCATAAGGAGAATCTGTAAAGTTTCACTGACTATAAACTTTAACTTCATGCTAATGGGCATAATAGGGAACCCAGTAGTAAGCAAGGAGAATTAAGCTATATTTAAAGCTATGATACTAGCAAGCAAAGCAGTGATTGCTCTAGGCTGGAAGGACAAGAGTAAGTGGACAGTAGAAATCTGGCATAATTATTTGTTTGATTTCATACAGCCGGATATAATTGAGAAGCTGAACTGGAAGACCACATGGGAAGACAAGACCACAGAAATCAGGAAGAAATGGAAGACATACCTAGAGTGGTTACCATCAGAAGGGAGAAAAGACATTCAGTGCAAGATTTGGACTTTGTGCCCGGGGCCGCGAACAAAGGACTAACGCATGGGAACAGCAGAGGGGGGAGGAGGGAGGGAGGGAGAAGGGGTATAAACTGTCACATAATGTACGGGTGACCCAGAAAGACAATATGTAATATATACCAAACACTACATAAAGATAAATATAAAATAAAAAAAGATGGATCTTCATTCTCATTTATATCTGATGAAGTAAGGAACACTTTGTTGGTCTTTAAGGTGTTACTACTATTTCTTTTAACATATAGTTATGAACTGCATGGCACTAGAACTGTTCCTAAAGTCACCTAAAATTCCACCTTGGCACACATGAGAGCAGTCAATGTGAGCGAGGCTCAGTATTGCTTCCTCAGTCTGCACCTGGCACTGTTCAATTTGATTTAGTAATGCTGCTTTCACAAACCCTCAACTGAGCCAGCAACAGATATTTATTCATTTATTTTGCTTCATTTATCCCCCTGCCTTTCTGACTTACATTGTTCTCCTCTCCTCCATTTTATTTTCACAACCACCTTGTGAGGTTGGTTATGCTAAGAGTGGCGTGACTGGCCCATAGCAAAGTGGGGATTCGAACCTGGAGCTCCCTGGTGCTAGGCCAACACTCTACCTACTACACCACACTGGCTGTAAATGCCAAGATTCCCAGTTTGTAGATACCTTATCCTTGAACGTTTAGACCTTGCCTTTTCTAACATACATAAGTAAAACAGCAGCCCGGACAGGCTAAAGAAGAAAATGAAGCGCATTTAAGGAGATGAAAAGCAGAGCCTCACCTTGGTCTTTTCTTCCACTCTGGCAGCCTGTCGACAAGCCGGGTGCAAAATTGAAGTCCCTGGAAAGTGGAGTGACATGAGGGCTATTTATCGCTATCTGCAACTGCAGCGGTTCATTCACTGATGAAGAAACAGCTGAGCTAGGCCAGAAAAGTGTGCACGGTCACGCGCTACAAGAGAATGATCCAGCTTGGCCAGACCCAGGGCTAAATTCACCCACAGCCAGAGATGTGGCACCTGTGCTGGGATTCAGTGCTCTGGAAGAGTCTAACCACAGTGTCATGCAATGGTCACTTCCAGGCTTGACTACAGTCATTCGCTCTACACAGGCTTACCCTTGAGGCTGACCCAGAAATTACAGCTGGTGCAAAATGCAGTGGCATGCCTGCTAACGGTGACGCCTCTATGCAGGCTCACGTCTGGCAGGTCCTCTGCCAACTGCATTGGTTACCAGTAGAGTTCCGGATCCATTTCAAGGTGTTGGTAATAACCTTTAAAGCCTTACACGGCATGGGACCAACATATCTGAAGGACCAACTCTTCCCACATATGCCTCGAAGAGCACTACGCTCTATGAATCACCACGTCCTGGTCCTGGTAGTCCCTGGCCCAAAAGACGTCTGTCTTGTCTCCACCAGGGACAGGGCCTTTTCCGTCCTGGCCCCTGCCTGGCGGAACACGCTCCCCACTGAGATCGGGGGCCCCCTGCGGGATCTTCTTCAGTTCCGCAGGGCCCGCAAGACGGAGCTGTTCCGCCAGGCCTTTGGCTGAGGCTGTGAACGTCCATATAGGGCCTCCCTGAGGTTTCTGTCAGTCTGTTATTCCGCCATCTATGCCATGGCCAGGAGCCTCCCACAAGCAGAAATTTTTTTTAACATCAGTTTCTGACCATCATTTTAATATTTATGATGATGTTTTAAATTTTAATTTTTACCGTATTAACTAATATATTTTGTATAAATGATGCTGTTACCTGCCTGAGCCCACTTGTGGAAAGGGCGGGCTATAAATGTGAACTAAAAAATTAATATTTTTTTTTAAAAATAACAATGTCTGTGTAGATCACTATATTTCATAGCCAAGGGATGGGCCCCAGTTGACAGAATAAAGCAAGCCGTGGACACCATTTAGGGTTCTGAAAAACAGGGGGAACTTGATCTGCGGGTAACCCCCCCCCAACCCCAGCAAATAGGATTTGCAGACCGTGCCACCTCCACCACCTCATCAGACTGCAGCTGGCACTTCGATTTGCCACAGCAACTCAAACTAGTGTATGGACACAACAGCCAACAGGTGGTGGGTGAGGGGGGCCACCAGGGAAGGAGAGAGTGAACGGGGGAGGGGGAGCTGCAGGAGGCGAGCCAGGGAGCGGGGGGGGGGGGGAACAGGACGGGGGACGACTAGGATTTCTCCTCTCTGTTAGTCCTCACAGGTGCCCTTGCACCTTTTGAGCTTGTCCAGGGCTCAGAACGCCACAGCAGTTCAATGGTTAGGAACAACAAAGGACTGCAGCCCTGCCCTCCATAGCAAGAAACGGTGGGAAATTCTGCACCTTGGAAAGCAGATTACAGTTACAGTTAACTGTAAACAGTTACAACAGATTTCCCTAGCTTTTCAGCCCCTAAGAAAACAAGACCAATAATGGAGATCCCTCCCTTACCTTGAAGATACATTTCTTCACCTTCTGCAAACATCTGATGGCACTTGAGACACCGTGCACACGTTGGGTGATAGTGTTTCTCTCCCGCCTGGGAAGGGGGGAAAGAGAAGAAAAGGGTGGCAAAAGGGGTCACACCTGTGCCAAGACTAGTTCACATCCCTGCTCTGCCACAGCCGAGTCATCGAAAAGAAGTCACAAAAACAACGGCTTTGTTGGTGACCTAAAGAGCTACCCTGCCTCCTGGCAATTCATCTTTCTCTACTGCAGGAGTGGACAGAAGGGTGTCTGTCTACTGCAGGAGTGGACTGCAACACCCCTGGCATATCCCTGGATGGCTGTTCATGATCTGTTTTGCTGGTTGCCAAGTTCCTTGCAAAGGATGCTCCATCAGGCAGCCTTTGGACTGTCCCAGCAAGGCACTTCACATCCTTCAGAAAGAATGGATTCTCAGGACTGCTTAATACAGATCAGTCCTGTCGTCACAGTTAAGAGAGGCAGCCTGACTACGGTCAGGGGGTAGCCTCCGGAAACATACGTCACCCATTTTGAAACAGCATCACTGGCTGTCAGTTGGTTCAATTTAAGGCGCTAGTTATGACCTTCACAGCACTTCACAACCAGGGACCCCCATATTTTAAAGACCCTCTCCTTCCATATCTCCCTGTGTCTTCGGGCAGCATCTGTTGACATCGACCAGCGCCCAGGCCTTCCCCATCCCGGAATGGGATTCCAGAAGAAGTGAGAGGGGGCCCCCCTTCATGGAGACATGGAGTTTGGAGTGATTTTTGTACTCCATAATAAACCTTTCCAAAGACACGATGTGCAGCGTCTTCTTTTACAGAGGGAGGCACGCCTTATCTTTGATTTGAAAACGTAAGAACCTTTTGGCTTGAACAGGGAAATTGATTATTCAGCCTTTTTGTAAACAAAAAGAATATTATAGAATGTTCATTTTAGAAAAATAGAGCCCTTTAAATTGAAGAAGTCAAAGGAAACGCATCTTCCAAATATCTAGAATGGGCGTCTTTGCAAAGGCTGTTTGGAATATGTTATGACTCGGTGGACTCCTCCTATCAAGTTACCAAGTTACACTGACTACGTGGACTTTATGTCTTATCTTCAAAGGAGGAAATATTGTATCCTATGCCTTCATATAGTTACAGTATGCATAATTGTTGTTGTTGTGACACCACCAACTTTATAATTGTTTAATATAGTGTTTCGGCAATCTTTGAGGGTGTATTCTACTAGTGGAATTTGTGTATTTGGGACTGTTGTTCTGCCAGGGCTTTTGAGGCGGTTTGAATAGCAGGCATATGGGGGGGGGGGATTGGGGGCTTTTAGCTGGAGATGTTCTAACTATTATTGTAGGCTGACTTGAAGCAAGAGAAAAGGTGGGATATAAATGCTTTAACAATGTTCTAACTATTATTGTAGGCTGACTTGAAGCAAGAGAAAAGGTGGGATATAAATGCTTTAACAAAACAGCCAAAGTTAAACGAGAAAATTCGGATTGCTGAGCCCAACTACGAAGTTCATCCCTGGAGCTGAGCTAGATGAGAAGTGTGGGGACAGTGGGGCTGCCAAGGGCTACAGGGGGTTGCTGCACGCCCATCACATCTCCCCTGCCCTACCTGCCACCCCCCCACCCCAGGCAGCCGGCTCCAGGCAGCCTTCCCAGAGCAGCAAGCAGGCGACTTTGGAGCAGATCCTGCAACACAAAGGTCCCTGAGGGACAACAGAAACCGCCCTCCTCCCCTGGACATTAGGAAGACATCATGCCCCACAGAGGAAGAAATCTTGACTTTCATGAACCCCGGCTCAATTCTCAGGGTTTTTTTAAGGACCTATCTATTGTGAGGAAAAGCGTCTTACCTCCAGAACTCTTCCCATGATGTATTTCTCACAACTGTCACATCTTATTCCAAATTTAACATGATAATCCATTTCGCAGTATGGTGCACCATCTCTACAGGAAAGAACACAACCAATACTTAATTTCAGCTATAGTGATAACCCTCCAAACAAATCACACAGTTTCTCAGTTTCAGAAATGTTTAAGCTCTGGATTCTTCCCTGTCCTTTGGCAGCAGCCCCGACCGTGGGAAGGCCATGCGAGACCACCGCTGCAAGGGCCTCTGGGCAGCCTCCCCGGGACGAGCGGAGCACGGCCATCCCGCCGGAGCCCAAACACCACCGCCACAGGAGAGCCACAAAGTCTTATTTTTTAAAAAAAAACGACTCAAAAGGATCACGTCACGACAGGGTTGTTTTAGCTGATCCCTTGGACTTGTCCACAAACCGTCAAGAATTTAGGAGAGTTAGTGTGGTGGAGAGGTCAGTGGGGGGGTGGGGGTGGACCTCATACAGATGTTGGCAGAACAGACTAGAGTGGGAGAAAACTGTGTAGAGAAAGGAGGGGATAGAAGTACAGTAGACAGATCAGATCGCTGTCTTTTCAAGAAACAGAACTACAAAATCAAAAGGTTTGTGGCCATGTGGGCTATTTCCGCTATTCATATACTTGTGATAGATGACCCTGAACAGAAATGGGGGGGGGCAATGAAATAAGGAACCTCCCTCTCACAGCTTTCCATTTCTCTCTCCTACAACCAGAGAGCAATGGGGATGGGGGTTTGCTGGGGTCAATCGCTCATCTGCTTCCATGTCCTACAGTGAAGGAAGACATCAGAGGAGACCAGGACACTGTAGCAGCAAGCCAGGCAAGCGCCTACGCTGGGTAATAACCCCCCCTCCCCCAGGGGCACCTGCTCCAGCCAGGTACTTGTCTGAGACAAAGAGCCACTTACAGCACAGTCCTCCTGAGGGCTGCCTCCACCCCAGCAGGCAGCGGCCGGTGCTGGTCGCTCGGAACTCCATGGAGCACCCCACCAGGACAGTCCACGATGGCCATGGCTTTCTCCTCCCCTGGGCCTGCTGCTGGTTCTTGGGTGTCAGCTCGGACACCCCCTCAGGCCTGGCTGCCAACGGCCCAGCGATGTCATAAACCCTCCCTGGGTCTACACGGGCTTGCGTGCGTGTACCATGTCTGTGTACATGCAGTGTGTTTTTCTTTGTACCACCACCCCAAATTAAAAATCCAGCCTCCTGCTTTACTAGTGACCTGGGGAACACTAATAAAGGCTCCCTCTGAGCATGTGCAAAGGGCAGAGTTTCCCAATTGTTTCAGCTCTTCTCCTATGTGTGCATGTTTCAGTGTGAGCACGTGAGAAGGGATTCGAATCACAGTCAGCTCTCTTACACATGAAGACTTTATTGCTGCAAATTAAGGTAGCACACAAGACAGGGGAAAAATACTACGAAGCCTACTAGTTACAGATCTAAGGAATTCAGGAGTAAAAACAGAACACTGAGCTAAACGTAACAATATGGAAGACTTACCTCTGACCTCCCTTCCTGGATGCTGTCAGCTGAAGCTGCTGCGCCTTGGAATGGGGGGGGCGCCTGGCCCCTCTGCTCCTCCTCCTCCGCCCCCCCCCGCCCCCCGTGGCTCCGCTGCCTTTGCTCCCTGCCTAGTGGCCTTGAAGGCTTGGCTCTCCCTCGTCCGCTTTTCCCGCTGGGAACCTAAGTGCTGCTTTTTGCCCGCGCTTGTTGGGTTTGTGATATCAGGGGGTCTGGTTTGAAGGGGGTATATCTGTAACCACCGTTTTGCCTTTGGTTCTTCCTGACTCAAGTATTCATGGTCCCACCAGGACTACCCTCAATAAACTGGACTTTATCAAGGAACGTTCTTGAGTGTTTGATTGGGAAGCCTGACAGGTGTCTGTGGAGCAAATGCAAAATCCTGAGGGGGGGAAAACCCCCCCATTGCTCCATGCAGAGGACTCCGACCCCCAGCATTTGAACAAAGACCAATGGAACTTTTAAGACTATACGGGCATGCCCCCCACACACACCCATACAGTTAGCGCCTTCTCAGACGTGATCCAGGTAGGCTGCTGGTGGCCACCGCCGCTGGCAGATGCTGCTGGAGCCAAGTCCCCGGCACACGGGGCAGCCACACAGCCCGGGAGCCCCACTGGGCCCGGCGACTGCAGCCACAAAGCCTGGGAGCCACGTGGGGCTCGCTGCACCATCTGAGAGTCATGCTGGGTCTGCAGCCCCTGAGTCATGCTGGGCCCTGTGGGGGCTGGGGGGTCCAGGAGCCTCGTTGGGCCCGCTGGTGGTGGTCACACAGCCTGGGAGCCGTGTGGGGCCTTCCCCCAGCAGCAGCAGAGCCCCTGAGCCTGGCGAGAAAGTGGGGGGGGGAGGGGATTTTAGCTAGGTTCTTGTTCTTCATTTGTAGATGTCCATCTGCATATAGTCCAGGAGGCCTGAGTACTACAAGGAATCCATCACCAAACTGTGGGTTTTAGAGCCCTTTTCTTTATGTTCATTTTCTGGGAAAGCTGTGAGGCTTTATGCAGAAGGTTCTGGGACTGGTTTCTAAAGACAATGTTGCACTTCTCTGATTTTAGTCAACCTCACGGAAGATTAAAGACTACTTAAACTGAGGGAGACTCAGATGAGCTTCATCCTCCCCACTCCCTCAGACGAGAAACCTGCCTTTTGACTCTTTCCTTCTCTTCCTTTCCCGCTGTGTCATGGTCTCTCCTCCCCATTCACGGCTAGTTAATGTGGCTAATCTCTACTTGACAGCTATCCACCATAGCCTACATCATGTGTCGCATGGAGACTTTCTCTGCCCACAGCCGTGACCTCACTCCTAATCCCAGGGGGCTGTGATTCCTCAGTGGTGAGGGAAACCTTTGGGCACAGAATTCTAGACTGCCTGCACCTTACAGACATACTTTGTCTCTGATCGAAAGAGCACCTGTTATTTACATTTACAAAAGGCAAATGCCTGTCCTTCACACTGCGTCACTCAGATGCCTCTCGTGATTCTTCAAACACTCTCAATTCCCAGACGCCGTCAGCGCTATCCTGCGCACACTCGTCAGGAATTCCCCAGAAGGCCGACTGGCTGTACTCCCGAGGAGCGAGGGCGTGTGCACAGTCTTCTAGGCTATAATACTTTAGTCCGTTTGAGGCTGGGTCCTTAAAGGGGGGAAGGGAGGGTCAAGCCATAAGACCAGTAAATACAGAAGCTAAACACTTTTTACAGCCCCACTGACTTCTGGTTTCATCTACTTATGATACACATCTGGTCTGCGGGTCCACTGCATACGGCACTCGCTTATACCTCTTGATACAATAACGTGTTTGGATAACATCATGTGTCTCAAGAGCTGGCCGGATTCTCATGCTTTAACTTACTTGCTGATGTATTCGGCATTCAGAACTTTGCCACAGGTCTTGCATTTGAAACAGGTCAGGTGCCAGTGCTTGTCCAAAGCCACCAAAGACTGCCCGTTCTTTATTTCAGAGCCACAGCCACCACAATCTGGAAGAGAGCAATGGCTGAAACATAAATAATGTACTTCATGCGTTACTTGTGTGAAAGAAAATGATGTTCTTTTTAACATCCCATTTGGGTTCACGCACTGAGGACAAAGAGTCACGGGCTGTCTGAGGAACCCAACACCAGGCATGCAAGAGGCACCAGAGCAGCAGAACTGCAGGCAATGTTGCAAAAATGACATAAACTGTGTGGGACTGTGTACCTCTGGAGTCTTAAGCCAGAGAATGGGAGAAACACAGGCTGAAATCTCCACTGAACCAGACTGCTCACTTTGGGCCAGTTGTAATTCAGCCTAAGCTATATCGCAAAATGGTTGAGATGATAAAGGGATGTATGTGGATGCTGCCATGAGCTCTTTGGTAGAATACAACCCTTAATTAATTATTTAATTAATAGTTGACTTCATCTGCACCCCAGTTTTCCCCGCAATGGGGACCCACATTCTCCCTGTCTCCATTTCATCCTCATGGCACCCCCGTGAGGCCAACTGGCCGGATTCTCATGCTTTAACTTACTTGCTGATGTATTCGGCATTCAGAACTTTGCCACAGGTCTTGCATTTGAAACAGGTCAGGTGCCAGTGCTTGTCCAAAGCCACCAAAGACTGCCCGTTCTTTATTTCAGAGCCACAGCCACCACAATCTGGAAGAGAGCAATGGCTGAAACATAAATAATGTACTTCATGCGTTACTTGTGTGAAAGAAAATGATGTTCTTTTTAACATCCCATTTGGGTTCACGCACTGAGGACAAAGAGTCACGGGCTGCCTGAGGAACCCGAACACCAGGCATGCAAGAGGCACCAGAGCAGCAGAACTGCAGGCCATGTTGCAAACTGTGTGGGACTGTGTACCTCTGGAGTCTTAAGCCAGAGAAGGGGAGAAACACAGGCTGAAATCTCCACTGAACCAGAGTGCTCACTTTGGGCCAGTTGCGATTCAGCCTAACCTATATCGCAAAATGGTTGTGATGATAAAGGGACGTATGTGAATGCTGCCATGAGCTCTTTGGTGGAATACAACCCTTAATTAATTATTTAATTAATAGTTGACTTCATCTGCACCCCACTTTTCCCCGCAATGGGGACCCACATTCTCCCTTTCTCCATTTCATCCTCATGGCACCCCCGTGAGGTCGACTAGGCTGAGAGTGTTACGGTGAGACAAGTGAATGTATTAATAAACGGAAACCCTCACATTCTTTGAACCACAGCCTTTTTATCTTAGTACAGAGCTGTCACGGCTCAGGTGGGGTGTCACCTGATGCTGCCACCACTCTGGTTCCAGGCTCCCTTGAGAAGGCCCAGAGCACCCTCCCAAGACCTTTAGATCTCCCATTTGGCCGAATACTAGGCATGAGGACCAGGCAGAGTGAACAATGAAAATAGTTTATTGTATAGGAGGTCAAACAACAAGGTGCAGAATAACAACAGTAAGTGGGTGAAAAGAAAAGAAATCAAATGCCCTAACACGTCTAAATATATACTGTTCCTGGCTCACTATCAAGTGGCCTTAGACTACTCACCCTTCCCTCAGGATGAGGGTCTCTTCCCTGCAGCAGCCTTCCTTCTGGCTCTGCCCTCTGGGAAGAACAGGTTTTCCTGCTGCTCCAGATCTTTTATTCCAAGCCCTCCTCTTTTCCTATTGGTCAATTTTGGCTCCAAAACCTCTCAGGGGCTTCTGGGAGTTGTAGGCCCAGCCTCACCTACTGCTAGCCAGGCTCCCTGGGCCTAGTAGGCCTCTGGTGGCACAGCCCAGATTGTCACGGCTCCTGCTGACTGCGAGCAAGCAGCTCCCGCCGAGTACAAACAAACGGCCCCAGCAGAGGATGTAAGTTCTACTGGGGATGAGCTCTCAGTGCCAGAAACCCCCGCACCTGACAGGGCTGAGCTTCCAGAGGCTACCCCAGCAACAGCTGAGGCAGAAGCACGCCCGGACAGTTCTCCTCCTGATTCACCGCCACCAGTATCCCGCTTGAGGGAACAGTACCGTTGGGATATGGCAGCCAGGCAGCGAGAGGCACGCATGCATGGCAGACGCTCATTCAGCCCAGAGTATTAGCAGAAGCCGGGACTCGCTTGGGGTGCGCTAATTGCCAGCAGGCGTATGGGCTATTTAACCCATGCCCTCATGCCAACAAATCGTGCCAGCAACTAGTCTCTTCGGACGAAGCTCTGCACCTCCCCGCACATGATCCTAACTCCTAGTTCCTGTCTGGATTTCCTCGGCTCCTTGACCTCGGCTTGAACAACTATGCTTCAACTCTGCACCCCGAACTTTTGACTCTCTGGCTCTTGACTCTTTTGGACTCTGGCTTCCTGACGACTCTCACGGTTTGTGCTTTGAACTTTGTTTCCCGGTTGGTTTGCTTGCCTGGCTTTTGACTCTGGACTGTACCTTGACCACCTTGCTCTTGCTTTGTGTATTGGACTTGTTTTCCGGCTAACTGGTGTGACTGGCTCTTGACCTCGGACTGTATCCTGACTGCCCCACCCCTGCCTAGCCCCGCATCATGACACAGATCAGGACAAGAACACTAACTTATTTATTTATTTTTTATCATTTGTTCCCAGTTGGAAGTACTGGCTCAAGAGAGAAAGTATTTTTGGTAAGGAACTGGGGCACACTTATCTGTCGTTAGTATCTTTCAAGGTCTTCTTGTCAAGAAATCTAATGTGTTTTTGGAGAAGGTACAGTAGTCTAAAGAACTCTGTTCCTCATCAGAGGAAACAGAATCAAGGACAACAGGGGCGCTTCAGAACCTACAGCTACCATTTTTAAGCACACCTGCAAGGAAGCGGCAAACCGGACACTGTGGGACTCGCTTCCCAGTGTGCACCTTTAGGATCAAGCTGTGAGGGCCGCGTCTAAGATGTGTGTACGGTCAAGCACCACACCACACCACACTGCCATGAAGCCTGACCCACCGCCCTCTGATGTCTCCTTTGCCTCAAGCCTCTGCTGGTGACACACAATCCTCCAGTGCCCGTTTCTCCCCACCTCCCTTTGCTCCTTCCCTCTCCCACTGAATTTATTGCTTCTTTCCTTTGCTTGGATAAGGCCATCACTCAAGCATCTCTGTACAAACTTCCTACAGAAGCTTTCTTCAAATTTTCCAGGCTCTGGAACCACCTTTAGCCGCAAGCAACAGCATGGAACCCCCGAAGGTGCCTGAGATAAAAGGAATCCCTTTGCCACTGAGTGACCCTCTTCGCTGTCCTTCTGTCCCGGCTCCCAAGGAGAGGCAGGGGCCATGATGCCCTTTGCTTTCTATGTATCTGCACAAGCAGCCGGCAGGCACAGAAGCAGGGGAAATGGCAGCTCTCCCTGGGGTCCTTCCTGATCATTATAGGGCTGAAGACTCTGGTGCTAGTGAATTCCCGGGGGGGGGGAGGTTAGGGTTAAGGTTAGTAGAAGTAACTAGCAGTTTGATGCAGCTCACAAAACTCAGCCTGGCTTCTCTGCTGTCTGAACAGTAGCATTAAACATTCTTAACCCCATGTTTCCTGTTTTCATCCAGACCCAGCAGAAGTACCACTTAAAAGGAGTGAGCTGCAAACAGTCGTGGTTCACAGTGGAGATCAACTATTTAACAGAAGTGCGACAGATCCAGCAATTGTTCCATAATGCAAATGCATAATCACCTGCTCAGTCCGTGGGTCAATTATGTCAAACATAGAATTTCCCCCAATTACTAAAGTTAATTGTTATTCTGAATTGCCTGTATCAACTCTGATTTGATGATAAAGTGTTTAACATTCTACTAAGCACTGTACTAAAATCTGGGAGTCCCAGTTCCGAATCCCTTCTCTGCCAAGGAAGCTTACTGTGACACTGGGCAAGTCGCACACTCAGCTACTTCCCAGGGTTGTTGTGAGGGTAGAATGGGGAGCAGAGAATGGTGTTGTGAGCTACTTTGGGTCCCCACTGGGAGGAAAAACAGGGTAGAAATATATTTTGTTTTATACTATATATGCACACAAATAAGGCAGGCTTATTTCTTGACCTGGAATGGGTAAAAATAGGTTAAAATGGCTGGCAGGGGTATTATGGGGGCGGGGAGAACCAGTAGTTGGGGTCAGGGTCAAGCAGCCCCTCTTCCCACCCATTTCCCCCTTCCTGCAGGAGTCTTCAGTTGAGTCACAAGGCAAAGACGAGGTTTGTAACCTACTCACTGGGTGGCCCTTAGGTCAGTCATACTCTCTTGGCTTATCCTACCTTACAGGGCTGTTGGGATGATACTGATGAAGTCTCTTCTGGCAGGATATAAAGGTGATGGGGGGGGGGAAGGAAGCCAAACCAGCCCGGCTGCAGGGGCTACAAGCGACGATGGCGGAGAGAAGCCGAGGAAGCAGAGCCAGGGGGTGTGCTGAGGCCGTGCTGGGGTTCTGGGTGGAGGGCGGGGGGGCCTTGGCAGCCCAGAGGCTTGGGGGGACTCAGGGCCCGGTAAGGGTTGTGGTGCTGGGTGGGGAGGGAGCCGTGGCAGCCACGGCCTCGGCAGGGGCACTGTGGTGGTGGTGGGGGGGAGAAGCTGCAGGTGGGCTGCACCTGCCGGAGGTGCTGCTGATGGGAGGTGGCAAAAGCCACGCTGGCCCCGAGGATGCAGCCGTGATGGGAGGTTAACTAAAGCAGGGAGAGGAATTCCCTCCCCCTGAGTAGCATGGGTCCCTGCTTGCACAAAATAAATCTCGGCATTTAATGTCATTGTATGTATTTAGAAAAAGGAAATGCCATCTCTCCAGAGAACCTGTTATTTTCCTTGATTAAATATGGCAAAATAGCAATTTATTTGTGGAACAAGATTTCCTGGGAGAGATTATTTCCCTTCTCAACACCCCGCCCCCCCCCATAGTCAAAAGAAAGCTCTGGAACACAAAACCTCACACAACCAACGGATGAGACTTTTAAAAGACTTGGACACTCCAGAATTTCTCTCCTAAGCCACAGAGAGTGAATAAATCAAAGAGAAGAGCTAAACCTCTTGCTTCTGATAAAACAGGCACTTACAATTGTCAGTAAGTGGAAGCAATCAGGAAGCAACCAGCCTGGAACAGGGCACTGCTCTTAATGATGCAACTGGACTAAAACCGAAAGGATGTTCAGTTGTTAGCATGAATGGATGCAAAAGGAAAGCCCAAAGCTGTTTGACACGTATAACAGGAACACGGAACAGAGGAAGTATAAATCAAGGTATATGTGTGTTAAGTCCTGAGCTTAACAAAGAGTCAGAGAGTGATTTCAGCCAAAACTCAAGTTTATTCTTCCACACGATCACTTCTCCAACACGGTACAACATCTGATAGCCCGAACAGTTTGCCCATTGAAACTGCTCGGTATTTAAACATTCCCGGCTAATATAGCCACTCCTACTTTACAGATAACAACCTATCAGGTTGATCGCATAAGGACCAATCACACACATTCCCGCTTCCAGCTTGCTTGCATGTGATTGGACGCATTTGTCTTGGACTTGAATCCCTGTCCAAGATGAAGCTTTACATTGCTTTCCAATGAGATATTTCACGTTACATCTAATGCATTCATGGCAGCATCTGAATACATTACAATGTGAAACTGTAAAATGAAAAATGGAATGTTTAAACACAGCAAGCCTGGGAGTGACTGAACTAAAGTGGACTGATTAGGACATTTTCAGTCAGAAAATTACCAAGTGTTTTACTCAGGGAATGACAAACACAGAAGGAATGGAGTTGCTCTAACAGTGAAGCGAGATGTAGCACAAGCAGTCAGGGGCTTTAATGCAAAGTCTGACCAAATAGTATCAATCAGACTTCATGGACAGCCTATCAACATAGCTGTGCTGCCCCAGCCAGTGTTTTTAGCCATCATCCAAGTTTTTATGCTGGTGTCCAGGAAGAAATTGATGACATGCCTAAACAAGATGTGCTGGTAATCACAGGTGACTGGAATGCAACAGTAGGAAACAAAACAGAATCAAATATTGTTGGAAAATTTGGGCCAGTAGCATGAAATGAAGCTAGAAAGTGACTGACAGAATTCTGTGAAGACAAGCTGTTCAGTGAAAACAGACAATTGTATACGTGGACATCACCAGACTGCCAATATAAGAAATTACATAATCGGAACCAGAAGATGGAGAAGCTCTGTTCTCTCTGCTAAAACAAGACCAGGAGCATAGATGTCAATGTGGTCATGAACCACTGCAATGCAATACCTCCTCTTACATGTGGCTGGCAGGAAGAGAGAATCAGTGAAAAGCAAAAGGAATTCTACCCGCCACAACATTTGAGTCCAGTGGCACCTTTAAGACCAACAAAGTTGTATTCAAGGTATAAGCTGCACACGAAAGCTTATAGCCAGAATTAAACTCTGTTGGTCTCAGGGCCATAGCTAGCGTGGGGTGTATGGGGCGATGCCTCCTCCCAAATTTACACCAGTTTGGTGTAGTGGTTAAGTGCGCGGACTCTAATCTGGGAGAACCGGGTTTGATTCCCCACTCCTCCACTTGCACTTGGGCTGGATGACCTTGGGCAAGCTGTAGTTCTGATAAGAGCTGTTCTTGAAAAAGAGCCGTTTCCGTCAGAGCTCTCTCAGCCCCGCCTACCTCACAGGGTGTCTGTTGTGGGGAGGGGAAGGAAAAGGAGTTTGTAAGCCACTCTAAGACACCTTTGGGTAGTGAAGGGCCATGGGGTATAAATCCAAGCACTCACCCCATGCCACATCACCTTGGCCACCCAGAGTCCGCCTTGGGTCTCCAAGTGGAAAGGACCCATCGCCTTCGCCTCCTTCTCCTTCCTTCCAAAGCCAGTTTGGTGTAGTGGTTTTAAGTGCGCGGACTCTAATCTGGGAGAACCGGGTTTGAGCCCCCACTCCTCCACTTGCACCTGCTGATGTGACCTTGGGTCAGTCACAAGCTCTGGCACAGCTGTCCTTGAAAAAGAGCAGTTTCCGTCAAGAGCTCTCTCAGCCCCACCCACCTCACAGGGAGTCTGTTGTGGGGAGGGGAAGGGAAAGGAGTTTGTAAGCCGCTCTGAGACTCCGAGTGAAGGGCGGGGGATAAATCCAATCTCTTCTCTTCTTCTTCTCTACCGCTGAGGAGCCCCCACCCCCTGCCCGTGCTCAAACACCACTCAGGTGGCTGGCCAGCTGGTGGAGCAGGGGCCCCCCCCCGCCTCGCCTCGCACCTCCTGGACCCCATGCTGGTTTGCAATAGAAGAGCCAGCAGCACCTTCAGGGCCATAGCTAATTTAATCAACCCACTAACTAAATTAGCTCTGCTAATTAAATTAACCCATGGTGCCCGACCTGAAAAAATTCCTAGACAACTTGGTCTTAAAGGAGCCAGTGGACTCAAAACTTTGCCATGCGTTATAAAGGCTACAGCTGAAGGATGCGAGTGCCCATCACATCTGCAGCTGCCCACCTGCCCACGGGACAGCCCACGGTGCCTCCGGGAAGCCTCCAGGCCTGCCGCCAACCAGGAAGGACATGCGCACAGACAAGGGCCCCGTGGCAGCGCAAGCCCCCTACACTCCTACACTCAGCCTGGCTTCCACCAGCACATGGCAACTATGTCCAGATTCAGGGTAGAAAGCTCAATCGATGCCAGGATGGAAAACCTGCCTTGGACAGCCCCGTCCCGCTCTATCTTAAAGTGAAGCTTCAGTTTAACGTTTCACTGACACTTACCGGCACACCACGCATACAAAACAGTGTGGGTGGTAGGTCTTCCCCAGGGCTGAAACCACCTCTCCTTCAATGAACTGGTCACAGCTGAAGCAGCGTGTCCCATAGAGTCGCTGGTAATCCAGAGTGCAGATGTAGTCTCCCTGCCGCACGAAGAACCCTCCTTGAGACAAGTCACAGCCACACGCTGCCGAGAAAAGTGGGTCAGAGAGATTAAGAGAAATAGTGCCAGCTCTCAGGAAGCAGAACATCAACATGGCGTGCTGCTCCCACCCATATTCTGTGCAGCCCCTGGCCTGGCCTGGCCTGGCCTGGCCAGGGGGTTTGGTAGCACACCTACGTCGGCTGCGGTGGGCAGCAGGAGCGCAAGCCCCAAAGCTGACTGGGAGGCAGGGGAGGCAGGGCAGAGGCAGGGCAGAGGAGGCCAGGATGAGGCTGCCCAAGAGCCAGTGGCCTCCACCTGCTTCCCTCCACAGCCACCACAGGAAAGGGGCGGCCGTCACTGCTGCTCCTCTGCTTGGGAAAGGCCGTCCCAGGTTGAAGGAGCCCTTGCGTTTCATGTCCCTCTTTAAACGTCCTGGTTTGCTAGATGCTGTATGGGCTGAAGTATGGGCACAACCACAGCCCAACTGAAATTACAACCTCAGCAGGCTTTGGAGCACCCTGACTCTCACTTCCCCAGGAAGGAAGGAAGGAAGGAAGGAGACCAAGGCAAGAGCCTGCTCTGCTCTATGCTAGCCTGGCTCAGTGCAGCAGCTAGGGAGGGAGGGAGGGAGGGAGGGAGGGGAAAAAATAGTGCCACTCCAGAACATACTACGACATGCTCCCATGTGCCCAAGGCAGCCAGCAAAACAAAGCAATGAAATTTTTAAAAGGCTCAAAAACCACTGAAATCTAATAAACTACTGCACAATCAAAAAACAAATCAACCCTAATTTACACTGTAAATAGCCATCTCCCCTTGGTGTTCCTTGGTGTTCTCCCACCCAGAGCCGACCCTGCTGAGTTTCCGAGATCTGACGAGGGACCGGGCTGGCCTGGGCTGTCCAGGTCAGGGCTAATCAGCTGTGATTTCTGACTGTTCCTCAAAGGCAGCTCTGAGCACACTTCAATAGTCCAGGCTAGCAAACTGCCTGGTGAGGCCTTGTCTCTGGTCTAGAGTCCCTGCGAGCAGCCAAGTGGACCCGACAGGCAGGAATGGCGTTCTCCCAGTGTCATGGCAAAGCCTCTGAGTCCAGCTGACCGCCGCCTGTGGGGAAATGTCAAACGTTCAGAGCACTTCACCTGTACTATTTCACTTTCACACATGCTAAATAACACACTTTCAGTGCACTGGGCAATTGGATTTCACTGTGTGAAATGGCAGAATCCAATTGCAGATAACTGCTAGAGTACATTGGAAGTGGACTGAAGGTGCATTTCTCAGCGTGTGTGAAAGTGCCCCCTCCAGCTGCCAGCTGTAGGAAATGCCCTCTTAACGGTCATTAAGCAAGGACTCCCTGCCCAGGACGAGCAAGGATGTCCAACTGTTTCAGGCAGAGGCACCTTCACTAGAGGGGCGTCTGGATAGATGGACGCTATTCTCAGACCCTGGTTATGGGAGAGACGCCACAGACTTCCTGGGGAAAGTACAGTCCATCAACAGTCTTCCAGGAAACACTACTTTGGCCACCACGGATGCTGAGTTTCTGTACATCAACATCCCCCCCCCCCAAAGATGGACTACAAGCAATGGGGAGCATCACCTCTGACAACACACAACGGCTGCCCTCAGCACCAGGCTCTGCCAGTTTGTCCTCACCTGCAACTGCTTCAGATTGGGTGAACGTTTATCCTTCAGATCAGTGGAACAGCCACGGGCACCTACAGGGCGCCACAACATGCCAACATTTCGTGGCTAACCTGAAGCAGCACTTCTGCAGCTCCCATCTCTTGTGCCTGACATTTATTGATGACACTTTCACCATTTGGACACACGGGAAAGAAGCACTGCAACTTCCTCCGCACCATCAGCCGGACCATGAACCAATCCACGCAAGAAATACACTTCCTAGGCACCACGGTACAAATACATAATGGAAGCATAAAAACCACCTTATCCCGGAAACCTACTGACCGCCAAACATATCTACAAGCCTCCATCACCATCCTAAACACACCAAACGATCCATCATCTATAGCCAGGCTCTATGCTACAGCCGCATCTCTTCTAGCCCCTCAGTTAGAGAGTCTCACCTGCAGGATCTGCAGCAGTCATTCTTACCAAGAAGAGCTATACATCCTCTTTATTTTAGTGTATTTCTTAATTGGAATGGTAGATTGGAAAAGTGATTATAATGGTCCCTGCCACACGAGGGACAAAAAGAATGGGCAAAGTGCCGCACCAAAATAGGGACGTGGCGGCGGGATCATAAAGATGTTGCGGTGGGATCGCGCCCGTTTGCTCCGCCCCTGATCCATCCCTCTCCCGGCCCTAATCCTCTCGTGTGACCGGGGCCAATGTAATGCAATGAATATTGAAATGTATTTCTCTGATCTGGTGACTGAGGAAACATAACACTGCACAACTAGTCGCCCCACCTCAAAGAAAAGGATGCTGTTAGTTGCCTCCATGCTTGAGAGGAGACGAATGGAGCATAACAACAGGATCTCAGTTAATTACTCTTAGCATCCCACAATTAAGAAGGATACATTTACACATTAGTCTCCTATTTTAACATATTTATTTGCTTCACAGTGTTTCCCCCCCATATTTAAATCCAAACAAATGGTGACCATATTCACCTAGCTTGTTATTCCTGTTTGGTCTTTGTATCTGTTAAAACATCTTCATTATGTTGTATGTTAATTTGCTGTTCACCTTCTGCCTATACGTAAGGACTGTTAACTTCTGTTTCAATGTATCTGAAGAGGTGTGTGCGTACACAAAAGCTCATATCTTGAATAAAACTTTGTTGGTCTTAAAGATGCCACTAGACTCAAACTTTGTTCTTAGAATTACAATACCCTCCTGGTGTAGTAAGGAAAGAGATCAACAAAGCCAGAATGACACCAAGGAGTGACCTGCTACAAGACAGGACCAAACAAAATAAAACAACAGAACACCACTGGTGGTCACATACAGCTCTCAGCTCAAACCGGGTCAATGCATCATTAACGTCCTACAACCTATGCTGGACAATGATACCCCCCTCTCACGGGCACTGGGAGGCAGTCCTCTTCTTGCCCACAGACAGCCTCCTAACCTTTAGCAGCTTCTCACCCAAAGCAATATCCCCTTCCTAACAAGGACACAGACTCTGGGACCAGGGCCTGCAGTAAGCCAGAATGCCAACTCTGTCCCCATATCCACTCGGACAACACAGTCACCAGACCTAAAAACTCCAGCCATATCACCTCGGGTTCATTCACAAAAGAATAAATGGTCATAAATCCGACCTTAAAAACTGCAACACTCAAAAATGGGGATGGTCACGAACCAGGGAAATACTCAGCATTCAACAGATACAACCATTTTTTTAAATTTATCATTTTTATTCTGTTTAAACAGCTGCCTTCCCAGGCAAATTATCTTTTAAACAAGATTTTTAAGTTTCCAGAAAGATCAAACTCAGCTGATATAATAATATTCCGCCTGAAAAAACATGTTGTGGGTAAGACAGAGAAGGATGGCCGGAGTCAACCTGGATCCCAGGAGGCGTTGGGGTGATGAACTATACACAGCAATCCACTATTCGCTTTTACATCGCTCAGTCTACGGTGCAAGGCAAAGCGGCTATAAATAATATGCTGGATTGATTTTTGTACTGAACTGGCACCTCTCCCCCCC